GGATACCTACTTTAACAGGGTGTTGCTACTAGGGGTCTGTTGAGACAGTTCCTTCAGCACATACAAAGAGAAACTGTGTGACAGGCCAAGACTAGTATGATTCTAGGCTCTTGGTCGTATTCCCTTAAAGGAATCTATTCCTGATTCCAAGACTTGAGCTCTACCCCAGGCCCAGAAGTCTGGCCCTAACAGGTATGTATTTTGGGGTATGTAGTCTAGGCTTTTGGCCGTAGGGAATAACGTCACTGACAGCTATATGGTAGAGTTGGTACTTAGTGCTCGACATGGTTCTGGCATGCACTCCCCTCAGCATGGTGGCGTGGGTATACCATTCCCCATAGCGATCCCTAGAGGACGCAGTTCGAAGTTCCCATGAAAGGGAACGTCTCAGGTTACTTATGTAACCATGGTTCCCTGAGTAGGGAACGAGACACTGCGTCCTCTAGGTTTCTTGCCATGCTGCGGACGCAAGCTTCAGACCAAGAAGTGAATGATGTGTGCTCCCGGCTCCTATTTATACTATAGTCACACCGGTAGTGACGTCATGGCTGTCGCCGGCCAACGAGTTGGTGTTTTTTCAATGTATGCTTCAGACACGGGTCACGAAGAGGCGTTCCCCATAGCGACCCCTAGAGGACGCAGTGTCTCGTTCCCTACTCAGGGAACCATGGTTACATAAGTAACCTGAGACGTTTCCCTCACACTGTGTTTTCATTCTCATGACAAAGAATTAAATTTGTACATATTTGAATGACAGATATAGACTGTATACAGCATGTTAGCTTGCTTGATTTGCTCAAGAGAATGATCTATTGAAGTCAAAGTCATTCTAACTATGCTTCTAATCACAGGTCGAGAGCTGCAGTATCAACTATAATTCTCTGCAAAGCTGTTTGCAAATGTTCATTGGAACAATGGTTTCGGAAAACACAGAATTATGAAACTATAATGCTTTTAGAAAAAACACACACCAATGATTGTTAAAAACCAGAATGCCTCACACTAGGAACAAATAATTTTTGGGGTAATTTTTCATGTTCAAAAATAATTTTTTTCTGAATGACTAATTTGCTGTTTAAAACTCCTCATATGAGTTGTCTGCATGTATAATTAAGTTTAGACAGTTTGTAAGAATGTTTAGCGTCCGTGGTATCAAAATGATCGTTGTCAGACACTGGCGGGGTGAACGAGGCTTGAGTTGTGAGTGCGCGGGCGCAGCCTCCGTGTTGCCAGATCCTATTATCTTTGGACTTGTTTTTTCCACTTAATTTGACACTTTAGAAAGTTAATAAAGTGGGAATTTACCATATAGGGTTAGCAATATATTTATCTTATCTTTTTTGCAAAAGATTTGAACTAATTTCTATTCATTCTGAGTTTTCAAAGCAATATCTGGCAACACTGCATTACGGGAGCTTTTCCTTCCGTTTTTAAAAAAATCTCCGTCCACATGAAAACGCAAACGCATGCTATGAAGCACTGTCAAAAGCATGCCAAACCAACAGGTGGCGATATAATCTCAACCGTAAAGCCATGTTGGCCAGTCAGAAGCCTGAAAAAGTCTCCAGTTGGCAGAGATAACAGCGCAGGCTCCATTCGGCAAGGCAAATGCAAAAAAACCCCCCAAAAAACATCATGATATTATCTGTCAGAAACATTATCAATGCTATCAACAGTGTTGGGGAAGCTATTCTGAAACTGTAGCTTGACCAGCTACAAGCTACTCGTAAATTAAAGTAGTTAAGCTACATTCAAGCTACCCTTTTGAAAAAGTAGCTAGCTACACTACAAGTTACTGTCGAAAAGTAGCTAGCTACATTGAAACTACTTTAAATTTTTTTATTATTCTTTTTTTTTTTACAATTAACATTACAAATAACTAAATAATTATTAATGAAGAATTATAATGAAGTTTTAAGTAAAATATTTGGGGTGGGGCAGATTATATTATGACCATTCATCATTGTAAAATAGACATTTGATCTTGAAAATTTATCAGTTTAAAAAGGCTATTATTCACCTCCTGTATGTGCTTTAAGTCTTCGACGTAGACCGCATTTTAATCTTTGTTTTGCATAAATTACATTTGATTCATGTGAAATATCCACTCCTGTAGATCCTTTGCAATATCATCAGAGGATCTCTTGTCGGTGGAAAGACTAAAGCTGCGCGATGCGTGATATCACAACAGATGGCGGTAATGAACAAATTTAGTTTGTGATCTAGTCAGAAGATGCTGCACTGCTTCAATGCAGGCTCGTGACTCATCAGAACGCAAAACGGAATGTAGCGTTTGGTCGCGCTACACCGCTACTTGCTGGAAAAAGTAGTTAGCTATGGGAAAAGCTACAATGTTTTAAAAGTAGCGTCGCTAGTGTAAAACTACTGAAAAATGTAGTTAAGCTAGTAGCGTCGCTACTTGTAGCTAGCTACTCCACAACACTGGCTATCAAAAACAGTAGCATTTAACACTAGTACACAGATCTGTAGAACAAGTAGGTTACAAAACGAAATGAAATATGCAAACATTTGCCATGAAGAAGTCTATGCTATTTCATTCTGTATAGTAGTTACATTTTCACAAAGTTATGCTAAAAACATTCATAAGAGCACTAGACAAAGTTATCATCTATATGGTTATTAATAAAAACTATAACAGTAATATGTATTGTTGCATGAATAATAAACAACTAAACAAAATTATCCATCCCTAACCTATAGTAAAGTATTAACACATTTTGATGCAATAAATTTGGTATAATTTAACAATGTTCATCCCTCAAAAACAGAGAAAACATATTTCACAAACATCTACATGTATGTTTCTTTTAAAGTGTTTAGTGTATATAATGAGTTGTATATATAGGGGTTTTTATAGCACAATTCTTAACCCCACCCCAGACCTCACTAATTTTCAAACCCTGGTTACAGCCATGACTAGGAAGCAACACTGCAGCTAGCCATTAATGGATGCACTAGCTTCAGCCATCTTAGTGTATAAAATGCATTAGATGAGCATTGAGATGGTCATTTGAGGCTGAGACTAGACACATCAAACTATTATCAAAGTGCAGGGGTTATGGAAGTAACTAAACAATATACAGTGTGGTCTACTGTGACCTGAGGAAGCGAGTTGTCATCAACCCCAACAGCGCTGGCAAAGGTCACAGACGTACAAACACATCATATTCACACTCACCACTTTGGGTTTGAAAGGAGGCTGGATCTCTCTGTTGGCCAACCGTTCCCAGTCGATTCTGCGGAAGAAAGCTTGCTCCTTTATATCTCGCTCACCCTCTGGATTGCAACCTAGACGCTTGGATGGATGCTTCGTCATCAGCTGTGCGTGTGGACGAGAAGAGAGAGATTATTAAACCAGAGCCCATCTAGATTTAATCATGAAAGAACATCTGGGTAGGTAGATAGATAGATAAAATATTTATAATAATAATATAATAATAATAATAATAATAATAATAATAATACTAAATTTGAGCTGAAATCACTTAAGTGAAACAAAACATTTAGACATTAGAGTCTTATTAACACCCATTAACGAGGATTTACAATCATTAAAGGGGTCATATGATGCGATTTCAATTTTTCCTTTCTCTTTGGAGTGTTACAAGCTCTTGGTGCATAAAGAAGATCTGTAAAGTTGCAAAGACTAAAGTCTCAAATCCAAAGAGATATTCTTTATAAAAGTTAAGAGTCAGCCACACCTACCTAAATGGCTCGTTCTAACACGACCCCACATATCTATGTCACTATGTGGGAAGATTTGCATAACGCCGCCCAAATGTTCAAGCAAAGAAAGAAGGCGTAACTTTTATTCTCGCTGTAGTATTGTTGCAGCCGCCATGTCGTGAAGGCGCTGTGTGTTTCAAAAGAGGACGATATCTGCTTCGTCATGCCTGGAGCTGATCCATGCTGGTTGCTGCGGAAATACATCAACTTTGTGCTGTGGATCGCCGGATCGGCTTTCACCGTGGACAAAGCGGAGTCCAGC